GGAGGAGTCAACAGCGCTCAACTACAAGCCTCCTCCAGTGCCCTAGCTGAGTCTCAAACTGGAAGGGAATCCTTTTGGATCGCTTCCCTCCCACCTTCATACCCTGAGAAATAATGTCAGCTGCAGCCAGATCTCTTGGAACCAAAAGTAAACCTGGTGGCGCACTTTCATACGAGCTATTGCCATCTCAATAAATTAATAACTAGTTTTTTGCTGGGGTGAGACATTATGTCCTCGAACTGGAAAATAAATCTGTGTGACCCTTTTAAATTCTAGATGTGGCCATTGAAACCCTGAGTAGATTTCTTGCCTGGCTTAATTTAGGCACGAGGTTGGTTCTTAGAAGCAGAAAACATCTCACTGGCCCTTTTTAATGCTGGGGGTGCCGGTGATTGATAATAGATTTTATAGTTTTCTGCCTGGTGTAAATTTATGTACAGCGATGATTCTTAGAACCAGAAAAAGAAAACCCAACAGCTCTTTTTAATGTCTGGTGTGGCCAGTGATTGATAAAAGATTTCTATTTGGAATAATTTTATCCACAGCTGTTGTTTAAAATGTGCAAGTTATGTTTTGACTGATAAATGTTAATCATGACACACAGTATGTGGCGGTCACCTCAAGAATTTTGATTTCTTTTGTCACACACATTTGTCTTTTTGTTCCTGAAATATCTCTAAATGGGATTCAGGCTGGGTAACATTCTGTTTGACATGTATTTTTTGTAATACAATTGAGTTTTACTCCAGATTTACTGTTAAGTAGTTGTTGATGCTTATGCTAGACAAGGTATCTTGTCTTTTGCCTGTTTTTATGTGTCCTTTCTTATCACCATCTCTTCACCAAGAGATATCTGTTGTGATATTCATGTATCTGAACACTGAAGTTGTGTTTTCTTTCGATGTCAACTGTGGTTACTTTTACACCTCACCTTTTTATCAAAAATGTCATTTTAAATTAGTGAACCACCTAACCCATCACGGTATTGTATGGTTGCTTTTTGCAATTTTTATGATTATGTGACTTTTTATCATCCTTAAAATATTGGATGATGCTTTTATGTATTGTATCTTTAGAACTGTATTATGATTTGAATTGTACAAACTGCTGCAGCTGGGCTATGCTTGGAAGATGTGACGCTTATTGTGTTAAAAAACAATAAAGTATTTGAAACCCCACGACTATATTTATGATCCTGAGTCAGCAGCTTGGACGTATTGGGCACCGTGCGCTCCTGCTCTTTGCCAAAGTCACCGAGGATCATCTTTTCCAAGGATTTAAGGTTTGGTGGTCTATTCAGAAATGTCCCATTCTATCAAAATAAACCTCCAATGAAATACTTTTTTCTATCTATCTATCTATCTATCTATCTATCTATCTATCTATCTATCTATCTATCTATCTATCTATCTATATATCTACCATCTATCTATCATCTATCTATCTATCTAAATCTATCTATCATCTATCCAAATCTATCTATCTATCTATCTATCTATCTATCTATCTATCTATCTATCTATCTATCTATCATCTATCTATCTACCTATTATCTATCTCCTATCCATCCATCCATCTATCTATCCATCTATCTATCCGTCTATCCTATCTATCTGTCTTCTGTCTGTCTGTTTATCTATTATCTATCTTCTATCCATTGATCCGTCTGTCTGTCTGTCTGTCTATCTACCTACCTACCTACCTACCTATTATTTATTTATCTCCTATCCGTCTATCCATTGATCCGTCTATCTGTCTATCCATCTATCTATCCATCTCTGTCTATCCGTCTATCCTATCTATCTATCTATCTATCTATCTATCTATCTTATCCATCTTATCCATCTATCTATCCTATCCGTCTATCCATTGATCCGTCTATGTCTATCCATCTATCTATCTATCTATCTATCTATCTGTCTATCCATCTATCTATCTATCTATCTATCTGTCTATCCGACTATCTATCTATCTATCTATCTATCTATCCAACTATCTATCTATCTATCTACCATCTATCTATCATCTATCTATCTAAATCTATCATCTATCCAAATCTATCTATCTATCTATCTATCTATCTATCTATCTATCTATCTATCTATCTATCTATCTATCTATCTATCATCTATCTATCTACCTATTATCTATCTCCTATCCATCCATCCATCTATCTATCCATCTATCTATCCGTCTATCCTATCTATCTGTCTTCTGTCTGTCTGTTTATCCATTATCTATCTATCTTCTATCCATTGATCCGTCTGTCTGTCTGTCTGTCTGTCTACCTACCTACCTACCTACCTATTATCTATTTATCTCCTATCCGTCTATCCATTGATCCGTCTATCTGTCTATCCATCTATCTATCCATCTCTGTCTATCCGTCTATCCTATCTATCTATCTATCTATCTATCTTATCCATCTATCTATCCTATCCGTCTATCCATTGATCCGTCTATGTCTATCCATCTATCTATCTGTCTATCTGTCTATCCGACTATCTATCTATCTATCTATCTATCTATCTATCTATCTATCTATCTATCTATCTATCTATCTATCTATCTATCTATCTATCTATCTATCTATATCGTCTATCTCATCTATCTATCTCCTATCTATCCATCTCTTCTATCTACCTACCTACCTACCTATCGTCTATCTATCTATCTATCTATCTATCTATCTATCTATCTATCTACCATCTATATATCATCTTTCTCCTATCTATCTGTCCTATCTACCATCTATCCGTCTATCCATCTATCTATCTCCTATCCGTCTATCCATCTATCCATCTGTCTATCCATCTCTCTCCCATCCATCCATCCATCCATCCATCCATCCATCCATCCATCCATCCATCCATCCATCCATCTATCTATCTATCTATCTATCTATCTATCTATCTATCTATCTATCTATCTATCTCCTATCCATATTTCCGTCCATCTATCTGTCCATCCATAACATCAATTTTATCTAATCTAAACTATCCAGTATCCTTTTCTGCCGTACCTTGGGGAAAAACTGCCATGGACTTCCCTGGCCACAGGAGGGCAGCATTCCCTGTTTTGTCATCCTCAGTGCCCTATTAGAAATGGAATTTTAGCTCCTGGAACTAACTCTTATATTCCCAACAGCCCCTTTTGTGGCTGCTTTGAGCTTTCAGCAAAGTAAAAAAAATGAAAGAATTAAAATAAGCCACTCCAGGACTTACTTGCCAAATGTTATAGCATCAGCCACCCCCCTCCCCCTGAAATGGGCATTTTTAATACACAGACACAAACAAACACCCAGCTTGCATTCAATAGAGAATTCCTACACTAGTTGATCTTCTTCCTGCAAGTTTACTAGCCCACTCCATAGTCAAGGTTTTGGGGGAGTTTCAAGGGGCTACATAAAAAAAATCATTTTATTATTCATAAGATTAACACATAAAACGTTTATTAATGAGATGATTTTGCCAAGGACGTGATCAGGATTTGAACTCAGAGCCACATAAAGCAGGAGCCCCCATGGGAGACGATGTAATAAAATGTTGATTAATAAAAGAATGATCAGATACCTTTGCTGGAGCCTAGCCTTCCACACGGGATAGTAGCCAGTTCAATGCACCGTGCGAACCCCCAAACACGTGTGAATCAGTCAGAAAGCGAGGAGGCTCGTGTGAATCCGACCTCGGGTTTTAAGTTCATGAAAAAGCAAAGAAAAAGAAACGAAAAATAAAGGCAAGTGCACCACTTTTCTTTGGCCACGAGATGGCAGCATTGCTCCATGGTTGGGAAAGGAAGGCGGAAAACACGCGTTCCCCTTTCAAGAGAGAATAAAATAAAACTTTTAACTGATTAAAAGAATATGACACACTTGTGCAAAATGATCTTTTATTTGTTGCAACACACAAACGCTCTGATGTGATTGCATTGAATTCAGGGGGGTAGATGGACTTCGTGCGAATCAAAAGAGACATGCGCAGATAGGAAAAAACAAAGGGGAGAAGCCAGACCCCGAAATGGACTGGTGTAACATACACACACACACAAAGATTTTTTTAAAAACTCGTTGAGCTCCGCCCATTCGCTCAGACCCTCCCCTTCAGCTTGCATTCAACAGGGAATTCCTTCACTAGTTGAATTTCTGCCTGCGAGTTCACTAGCCCGCTCCAGGGTCGAGGTTTTGGGGGGGTTTCAGGAGGTACCTAAAAAAAATCATTTTATTATTCATAAGTTTAATACATACAACGTTTATTTTATGAGCTCATTCTGCCAAAGACGTGAGCAGGATTCGAACTCAGAGCCACGTAAAGCAGCAGGAGCCCGCTTGGGAGAAGATATAATCAAATGTCGATTAATAAAAGAATAATAAAACTCCTTTGCTGGAGCCTAGCCTTCTGCATGGTTTAGTAGCCAGTTCAATGCACCGGGCAAACCCCCCAAACACGTGTGAATCAGTCACAAAGCGAGGAGGCTCGTGTGAATCCGACCTCGGGTTTTAAGTTCATGAAAAAGCAAAGAAAAAGAAACGAAAAATAAAGGCAAGTGCACCACTTTTCTTTGGCCACGAGATGGCAGCATTGCTCCATGGTTGGGAAAGGAAGGCAGAAAACACGCGAAAAAGAGAATAAAATAAAAGATTAAACTGATGTGGCTGCTTTGAGCTTTCATCAAAGTAAAGAAATGAAAGAATTAAAATAAGCCACTCCAGGACTTACTTGCCAAATGTTATAGCATCAGCCACCCCCCTCCCCCCCTGAAATGAGCATTTATAATACACAGACACAAACAAACACACAGCTTGCATTCAATAGAGAATTCCTACACTAGTTAAACTTCTTCCTGCAATATATATATATCAATAGCACATGAGGTTATGTAGCCAAGTACAACAAAAGGCTGGTCAGAGATCTTGAGGTTTTTTTTCCTAATTTTTTTTTTTATTTTCCCACAATGCTTTCACAATTCTTTCACAGAGGGCAATTTTAGCTCATCCTTCTCCTCTCTCCTTGGGACCAAGTGGAGTCCCGAACCTTGGAAACAAAACCCCTCCAAAAAATCACCCGGTGGTAACCATACCAATTTCATTTTCGCCTGTCGTTCATGCCAAGCGCATCAGCCAGATAGCCTTTGACGATATCAACCCCAGCTTGATTAGGGGGCTATGAAATTTCATCGTGAGATTTTAAATAAACCGGTTTAGAGATTTTCCTTAGCTTCTCCTGATGCCGAAACGCCCGGGCTTGTGGCAGGGCGAGGCCCATGGGTGGCAAATGAATCTGGAGGGTAAGAAGAAGAAGAAGAAAAAAATCTAATTAAAAAGAGACTTGGAAAAACAGACAGGCCTTATTCAGATACCAGGCTTAATTGTGCGTCTTTTCTTAGCAGCGAAACTTTTTATTTTAAACAAGAAGGTCCAAAAAAATATCAAGGACTATCTCTGCCAACGATTGTCAAGACCAGGGATAGGCAACCTTGGCTCTTTTATGACTCGTGGACTTCAACTCCCAGAATTCCTGAGTCAGCTATGCTCAGGAATTCTGGGAGTTGAAGTCCACGAGTCATAAAAGAGCCAAGGTTGCCTACCCCTGGTCAAGACAGAATCCTCCTGAGCAAGAATAACAAGAGTCCCGTCAAACGGCTGATTCCTACTTACAGGCCTTGGATACGGGTTGCGATAATGAAGTCCGAGCTCTATTCTCGCCTTGCACTCCTGTACGCATTGTTTAATCAGCTCGGGATCTGTTAGCTGGTCTTGCAAACAATACGGGGCAAAAGAAAAAAGAAAGAAAGAAAAGAAAAGTTAGAACACAAAGTGCAAAAGCTCTAAAGGACACATAGGTAAGTTCAAACCTTTTTCCAAATTACCTTGTGAATTCCCGCCCCTCCCCACAAAGACATTCAAAGGAAAGACCTCGATCGTCCATGGTTTTAGCTTTGTTTATGTTTTTCCTAGTTTTGTATGCTGCCCTGAGTCCATTGGTGTTGGATGGATGGATGGATGGATGGAAAGAAGGAAATGGAGGGAGGGAAGAAGAATTCTAAATGAACGAGAAGAAGGAAGGAAGGAAGGAAATAAGGAGGGAAGAATTCTAAATGAACGAGAAGGAAAGGAAGGAAGGAAGGAAGGAAGGAAGGAAGGAAGGAAGGAAGGAAGGAAGGAAGGAAGGAAGGAAGGAAGGAAAGGAAAAAGGAAAGCTAGCTAGCTACAAATATTTTTTGCCTGAATCAGACATAACTCTTTTCCAATTGTGATCCTCACAATCTCTTTTGCTAAGTTCATTGAGAAGACAATAATGGGCTTACAAGAATTCCAGCACTGAACTATTTCCTATCTGCAACCGATCCACCTCCAATTACATAAAGATGGAATCTTCCCTCATTTCTTTCTTGCTGCCTAATTTTTTTATTTTTTTTTTGGACCCTGCAAATTGGAAGGTCTCTTTGGGCTAACCCAGGAGCTGACGGCTGATAGTTTTATCGTCCAGTTTCTTTGAATCTTGGTGGGTCTGAGATGATGGCCTTCAAGGCGCCCTAGATAAGCTGAGCGTGACTTAGTGCAATGTTTGATCCACACAAGTAAAGATCTGTGGCTATTTAAGGGCTTGAAGGGTTAAAACCACCCCTTTGCATTGTGCTAGGTTAGTGACCAGTGCAGTCACAAAGGTCTGACGTGACCTGATCCTTCAAATAGGTGGCAGCTGATATTCTCGCTGCCGCGGGCGGCACCAACTGAAGCTTCTCATAGAGACACCTCTTATTCTCCAGCCTTCAGTGAACAGAAAGTTGGACCTGTGTGGCCTTTGGCTCCATCAGCCCTGCTGAAAGCTGAAGAAGTCGACGTGTCCACACAAAGGAACATTTGGCATTGAGGAACAGGATCAAATGAGAGAATTCTCCACCCTGGACAGTCACCACCGATTTAAAACAAAACAAAACAAAACACCTCTAGACCAAATGCTAACTCACATTTCGATTCTTCTGGAACAACGTTTTAGCTTCGCTGATAATATACTGTTTTTCTTTCTCCGTCTCTTTCATCTGTCCAGATGCTGACTGCCATGTTTTGGCTATTCGGAATACTTTGCGGTAAAGACCCAGGACTTCTTGACGAGTGACGGGTGTCATCTGGAGAAACGAGAGAGGATTCCCTGGTGAGCATTTGGGGCTGTGGAGGGAAAAAAAAAGGGAGGGGGAGCTCCAAACAGATGGACCTTTTCACATTTTACTCCATTTGTTTTCAAACATTTTTCTTGGCTCCGTCCGCGGCCGTGGAAAGAAGCGGCAAAGATGGAGGGGAAAATTATAGAAGGTTAAGGTTAAGGTTAATTTAATTTGTATACCGCCCTTCTCCCGTAGGACTCAGGGCGGTTCACAGCATATTAAAAACACAAATACAATATACAATATACAATATACAACTACAATATACAAATACAAATACAATATACAATATACAAATACAAATACAATATACAAATACAATATACAACTATAATTATCTGCCAAGTGTGGATAATAGCTACTTTTCCGTGCACTAAATTTAAGGCAGCAAAATACCCAGCTGATATCAGCATACATGAAAATATGCCCAATATACCTCAAGAATCAAAAGCAGGATGTTGAGAAAGGGAACAACGAAAAAGGAAAAAAGAAAAGCAAATATAATCACAGAGGTGAGGGCAGTGAAGTCCCACAGAATTCGATTCAGTTGCAAACTTCAAAACAGGTTGTCCTCCACTTATTGAGCCCCATAATTTCTGTTACTAAGCAAGACAGCTGTTCAATGAGTTTTGCCCCATTTGATAACCTTTCCTGCGACCGTTGTTAAGTGAATCCCTGCACTTGTTAGCAACCTGGTTGTTAAGCGAACCTGGCTTCCCCAATGACTTTGCTTGTCGGAAGTTCGCCAAAGTTCGCGTGACTCGCGTCATAAATGTGAGGCAGTCGCCGAAGGTGTGAATTTTGATCACGTGACCATGCTGCAAAATTCACTTAAGAACAGTCTTGCTTAGCAATAGAAATTTGGCGCTCAACTGTGGTTTGTAAGTTGAGGGCTACTTGTTTATCCGCTTCCGTCTTCCCTCAGAGCGAGCGTGAGAATGGACGGTGAAATCTATGTAGGACGCCATCTTGTTAGACGCCAATGTTTGAACAGGCTTTCCCCTTGCACCCGAGGCCTCACTCAAAAATGCTGGGCAGATTTATCCTTTCTCGGTGAACAAAAGCCACTTCTGTGGTCCAGGACTGCTGAGCTTGCCACAGCAAAGCATTCTTGTAAACGAAATATTGTAGTTTCGTTGTTCATGATTTCAGTTCTGTATCAGATGAGCATAATGCTCTCTTTCTTAGTGTTCTCAAAAGCAATTATTGATGGCCTGTTAGGGAATGATTGGCAAAGGCTTCACTGGGTCATATGCTAAATCATGTTTTAACACTGGTTTACTAAATAAATTGCATTTGGCTCGGGATACAGAAGAAGGATCAATCTGTCTGTCTCTATCCTATCTATCTATCTATCTATCTATCTATCTATCTATCTATCTATCTATCTATCTATCTATCTACTTACCTATCTCTATCCCTCTTTCTATATCTATCTTTCTATCTTTCTCTCTCTCTCTCTCTCTCTCTCTCTCTCTCTCTCTATCTATCTATCTATCTACTTACCTACCTACCTATCTCTATCCCTCTTTCTATATTATCTATCTATCTATCTATCTATCTATCTATCTATCTATCTATCTATCTATCTATCTATCTATCTATCTATCTATCTATCTACCTATCTACTTACCTACCTATCTCTATCCCTCTTTCTATACTATCTATCTATCTATCTATCTATCTATCTATCTATCTATCTATCTATCTATCTATCTATCTATCTATCTATCTATCTATTCTCTCTTTCTAAATCTATGTATCAGACAGGTCAGTCCGCCTGTCTATCCTATTTATAATCATGTTTGTATGTGTAAGCTAAGGCCAATAAAGCACATTATAGTTTATTGTTTAAAACCAACTAGCATTGGAGATTTGTTTTTTTAGCAATTGATGAACTGCAAATTCAGTTCTCCCAGCAATCCCAATCAGGGAAAATCACATTTATTGTATCTTCTCCTGCAAAAAGCATCTTAAAGTCACATGAGCCACCTAAACTAAGGTTAACAAAATTAAGGCGACAAGCCCATTTAGGAAGCATTCGCTGTGACCAAGGATATCTTGATAGCTGCCTTCCCGAATCCTGCACAGAAGAATTATATTGTCAGGGTGGCAGATGAATAACCTGGTTATTCTTCTGCCACCCCGGCAATATAATCTTCACGTCTGCTTAACTGATTCCGTTTTAAAATGCAGCCATTTTGTTGTCTCCCGAACTAAATTATAACATTTAGCTGAAGTAATGACCCCCCAATTTTTCTGCAGCTGGGAAAGGTGGCGATGTTTTTTGTTTTTTTAAAAAAATGGGATGGTGCAATTAGCTGCAAAAAAGAAACCTCACTTGGTCAGATTTATTCCCTAAAAAGTGATTTGAGAGCCACTGCACAGCCAGATAGGGTGTAAACAAGTCCTCAGTTCCTATGACATTGATGGGATGGTGAGTGAGAAGACTTGAAAAGATGACTTCACTCTCTGACAATTCACTGGGCCCAGGAAAATTTTGACTGTTTTTCTTGGAGAATGGGTAGGCTGGTTTATTAACAAGGAGCAGGAGGGGTTTACATGTAGTCCTTGACTTATAACCATTCCTTTAATGATGTTACAACAATGTTGAAAAAGTGGCTTACGACTGGTCCTTACACTTTTGACCAGGAGTCTTCAAACCTGGCCCTTTTATGACTTGTGGACTTCAACTCCCAGAATTCCTCTAGTCCATCAGCTTTTAATTGATTTCCCGTATTTCAGGACAGGGAAATTTGGTCTTGAAACTTCTTAGTTTCCTCTTTTAGCTGACCAAATTGCCCTCATCTGTCAAGGCAAAGAGATGCCCCTAAATACATCACTCAACATTTAAAAAAAAACCATTTGCTTATTCATCTTTTGGCTTACATGCCAGCTGCAGAGGAAATCTCTAGGTTTTCACTTCCTTCTTTGTTTAAACAAAGTTTTTTTGGGAGGAAAAAAATCCCCAGGGCAGTTCCAAGTTGCTGTAGGTGAGATATTTGGACTGGGTTTCTCTTAAAGAAACAAAACAGTTTATATTCAATGCCCCAACGGGATTTTTTTTTTTTTTTTTTAAAAAAAACATGGTGTGGATTTGCAACTGCCTCCAGCAATAAAATTCATGATGTGCTGATGGATTTACACTGTAACCAAATAAAAAAAGATGAGTAAAACTGAGCAATTTGTCTCCAGTTTTTTTTCTCATTGAGTTTGTTTTGTGATTTCATGCTCAGTTCCTTCCTGTTACCTACGCCTTTGATTGAGGGCAACTGAGCCCATTAAAGAACTATACAACTATTGGTGGTTTGTGGGCTGCCGTCAGAAAAACCACAATGGCAAGCAAGCAATACAGTTCTTTGAACGTGGGCTGTTTCTTCAAAGTCTAGACCATTTTTTGAGGCAAACACGTGGGTGGGCTCTTGCGTGAATTGAATGCAATGCCTTTCAAGATCCTGTGTCTAAATTGCAGCTTTTGTATAATTTCATTAAGGCAACAGTTAACACGGTGTCTGTCTAGGAATGACTGGCTGCTGCCAATCAGCATCTGGTAGCAGCTTGGAAGATTAATAAACTCCATTATAAGCTTACAGAAAGTCATACTCTGCAGTTGCGGTTCCTCTAGATACAATGGCCATATTTTCTTGGAAAAAATAAAGAACACGCCTGAAAAAAGGGACAAATTGGAAGGAGATTCCTAAGGATTAAAAAAAAAAGTTTGTAACTTTGTTTTACAAAGGAAAATTCAAGAGCCAAGAAAAACAAAAATGGCTTATTTGAATAAACGTATGTACACTTATTTTAAAAAGATGACTCAATGTCTGTATTTTTCTGAAAACTGTGCATTAAATGGTATTATTTGTACGGGAGAAATTACAGTAAATGTTCCAAATAAAGGAGAACGGTGAGTCTTTGAAAAATACTATCCAAAGGGCAGGTTTTTTGAAAGAAAGGTCTGGCTTTTATAATAAAGGACATATGATCACTGTACCATATGTGATGAATTTGGGTCTCTTCCTACAATAACAGTTGCCATTATTTGGGTGGGTGGGTGGAGAATATACAAATTCTCTTTTACATATAACTTGCATCTTTCTTATTTTATGACAAAATAAAACTTGTTTAAAGGCTTCTACCAGGGATTTAAATTCGACCTTGACCAGTCTGAGGCCCCACCCCTGCAATGAGGCCCCACCCCCAGCTTTAAGACTCCTCCTCCTCCAGGGTGAGAAGCAAAGCGTCTATCTTTCTGTCTGATCTGTCTATCATCTCTATCTGATCTGTCTATCATCTCTCCTATCTGTCTATCTAATCTGTCTCATCTGTCTATCATCTCTATCTGTCTGTCTGACTCACCTGTCTATCATCTCTCCTGTCTCTGATCTATCATCTCTTCTATCTGTCTGTCTGTCTGTCTGTCTGTCTGTCTGTCTATCTATCTATCTATCTATCTATCTAGCTATCTATCTAATCTGTCTCATCTATCATCTCTATCTATCTGTCTGTCTGACTTACCTATCATCTCTCCTGTCTCTGATCTATCATCTCTTGTCTATCTATCTATCTATCTATCTATCTATCTATCTATCTAATCTGTCTCATCTATCATCTGTCTGTCTGACTCACCTGTCTATCATCTCTCCTGTCTCTGATCTATCATCTCTTCTATCTGTCTGTCTGTCTGTCTGTCTGTCTGTCTGTCTGTCTGTCTATCTATCTATCTATCTATCTATCTATCTAATCTGTCTCATCTATCATCTCTATCTATCTGTCTGTCTGACTTACCTATCATCTCTCCTGTCTCTGATCTATCATCTCTTGTCTATCTATCTATCTATCTATCTATCTATCTATCTATCTATCTATCTATCTATCTATCTATCTATCTATCTATCTATCTAATCTGTCTCATCTATCATCTGTCTGTCTGACTCACCTGTCTATCATCTCTCTGATCTATCATCTCTTCTATCTGTCTATCTAATCTGTCTCATCTGTCTATCATCTCTGTCTGACCTGTCTATCATCTATCTATCTCATCTATCATCTCTATGTCTCTCACCTGTCTATCATCTCTGTCTGTCTGTCTGTCTGTCTGTCTGTCTGTCTATCTATCTATCTATCTATCTATCTATCTATCTATCTATCTATCTATCTATCTATCTATCTATCTATCTAATCTGATTAGTCTGTCTGTCTACCTAATTAAATAACATAAAATAAAAAATACTTATTACTAAGGAAACTCGTGAATGCTTCCAGCAGGCACACACAAATGAATCCTAGTTTGGTTCAGGCTTCATTGACACCAGTGGCGCCATTTTGTCACCCTATATAGCGCCCCCTATCGGAGAGGGCAAAATCAACAGTTGCGTTGCTGCTCTCTGACGGTCCAGCCTAGAGCCGTGTGGGCGATACCAATATAGAAGCGGGGGGAGGGGAGATTTACCTCTGCCGCGCCTCCTCTTTTCGGGACGTTCTCTTCGCCTTTGGGACAGGCGCTCCTCTCTCCTCGCTCGTCCCCTCTCACCTTTTCGGATTCACCTGCAGAGCTAGCACTTTGACTCCCACATATGCAGCGGACCCGTGGGGGGGGATATAGTTCCCCCTCCCCCGACATAAATATTCGCCCTCACTCACCTTCGGAGACGACGAAAACGAGAGGGGGAAAAAAAAATAACACCCCCCCTCTGCAGCCGGCCCTCTTGCCCTTACGCTGCGCGCGGCGTCAAGCGCGTGGAAGCGCGTCCCGCGTCACGACGCCGCCAGCTGACTCCCTCTCTCGGCGAAGCCCCACCTCCCGGAAGTGATGCAGGAGGCTGAGCCCGAGTGGGCGCTCTGGTCGCCGAGGAGAGCTGGTGGCGGAGAGGGGTGAGCGAATTGGACCGTCTCTCTTCCCGTCCGGGTCGGGGTTGGGCAGGCGAGTGCCCCCCTTTCGCCACCGTTGCCCCCCCTCCCTCCCTCCGCCCCTCAGCAACGGCCAGCTCGCTCCCCACCTTTCTGGCAGGGAGGGGGGCTCTTTGGGGGGCCCCCCAGCTGGAAGGAGAGAAGAGGGGGGGCTGTTTTTGGGGCAGGGGGAGGGTTCCTCCTGAGGGGAGGGGGCTTAGAGGGAGCAGAAGACGCCCTGTTGCCCCCCCAAGGACGAGTACATGGAGGGGACCCTCACCCAACGGTGTGGCATGTGAGTATCCCCCCCCCCAAGGCCCCCGGGCGGGGGTCGCCTCCTTACTATGGGCTCCCTTTGCAGCCACCAGACAATCTTCTGGGGGGGGGGCGTTAGGTCTTTGTAATGGCTGGGAAGGGTCGCTAAGGTGAGTTGGGTTGGGGGGCTTCTGCCCATTTTGGGGGGGGGAGAGACCCTCTTGTGGCCACGTTGCCCTTGTGCTCTGTTTTTTTTTTTTCTCCTCCTGGGAGAGGTAAGTGGCCAGGCCAAGGCTGTTGGCTTTAGGCCAGCCCTGGACTTTCTGGGCCATCCTGGGAGCGGTTCCAGCCCATAATAAGCAGAGCGGAGCGTTCATTCAGCATGCTTAACCTGGTTATGGGATCCTCTCTTTTTCTGCATTAATCCATCGAGTGACCAGATGGCTCTAAGTCACACTGTGTGTTAAAATGTGTGGATCTTATATCTCTCTATCTATATCTCTATATCAAATCTGTCTACATCTAGTTCATCTATCTATCATCTACCTATCTACCAGTCTGTCTGTCTCTCTGTTCTATCTATCTATCTATCTATCTATCTATCTATCTATCATCTCTTTCTATATTATCTATCTATCTATCTATCTATCTATCTATCTATCTATCTATCATCACTTTCTATATTATCTATCTATCTATCTATCTATCTATCTATCTATATCACTTTCTATATTATCTATCTATCTATCATCTCTTTCTATATTATCTATCTATCTATCTATCATCACTTTCTATATTATCTATCTATCTATCTATCTATCTATCTATCTATCTATCTATCTATCTATCTAATCTAACATCTATGTGTTCTATCTGCCTGCCTGCATCTCTGTCTGTCTGTCTGTCTGTCTGTCTGTCTGTCTATATCTATCTATCTATCTATCTATCTATCTATCTATCTATCTATCTATCTATCTATCTATCTATCTATCTATCTATCTATCCATTCATCATCCATCCATTATCTATCTTTCTATCCTATCTGTCCTGGAATTGGGAAGTTATGAGTGGGTTGTGTGTGTGTATTTATATACCAGCCTGGCTTTAGGGTTTGGGAGTAGGAGGGATTGGAAGTGAAGAGGGCATCAGTGGGATAAAAATAATTTCATTGTCACAAACAGATTGCATCTTGGTGAGACTTGAGCTGGCTGCGCCTGTCTTCCTTGGAAGGGCGGGGACCAGTTAACCTGGTTGATCCTCAGAGACTAGAAAACCTGAGGATTGCTGAATCCTCTCAGGAGCTAGATAGTGATCCTGACAACTTCCTGGTCTCATTGTGGCACTTTTGAGGCTGAAAATAGTTGTTGAAGCTGTCACTCTAGAGGGCTATTTTGGGTGAGCCCAGATTGAAGGCAAGTGGATCTATGAATGACTTAAGACCCAGAAGTATGAATTTTGCAAGACATATAACTGGGCACAGAGCAAAGTCCACCTATTTGTAGCTGTGATGCCAACAACGTCTCTGTCAGCGTTGTATCTTCAATGAACTGCCCACAGAGCAGTTCTCAACTGCTGGGGACTTTAATTGGGGATAAATTTGAGGCAGAACTGACCAATTTAATAGGTTTGGGAAGACCTTTGCACATAAAATCCTTTGTATGTGTTTCAAATTAGATACAATTTTTGAAGAATTTGTTGAATTATGGAAGTGCCGCCTGGTCAGAGTTTATGAGATCCCTTTAAATTATATTATTATAGCCTCAGGAAGCCAGCTCAGTTGTTTCTTTCTTAAATTGTTGTCCTTAGTTGTTCTAATTGGATAGATGCAAGGAAGGCTAATAAGCTATTTTTATGAGGTCCTCATGCACATCACTTTGGAACAGGTGGCAGTGTGTAATTTATTTATTTATTTTTGAAGAGGGCTTCTCTTGATTTTGAAATTTGGTGTAATTATCACTAAGTTGCAAGTTTTGGACATAAGTGCTAGATAAGAGGGTGACCATTGGACTGCTGGAAATGGCTTAGAAATAAATTTGACTTGAAAGAAATTAATTGTCTGGATCTCCCGGCCTACATGAAACAGTATAAAAAATCTTGGTTATTCTGAGTGGCGCCTTCGCCAAGGGAAAAGCGAGGGATTCCTTGGTGATATTTACCATCATTGATCATGGGATATTGCTGTAGTGCTTGTAGCTTAATGAGCTAATTATTTTTAAAGTTCTGTGTTACAGTAGCTTCAATTCATTAGAGAATTGTAGTGGAAAAATTTTACATCGCCTTGCGTTGTAAAAAAAAACAAACCCACTAGTGGTATTGTTTTTGTCTTATTCTTCTGTGTCTATATGGGAAGCTGCTGGAAACTACATATCACCAGCCATTAAAGTAGAGATCCCCGGTTTTGTGCAAGACAATTTTTCCACGGACTGGGGAGGGGGAAAGAGGAGGAGCTGACAACCTAGATCCTGTGCATGCACAGTTTCGCTTGCCCACCATTCATTTCCAGCTCTGCTGCCTGGACACTGACACAGAGGCGCAGGAGTTGGGGACCTCTGCATTAAAGAACCAGACATTCTTTCTGTATGTTATATAAAACCCTTCATGGCTTAATGTCGATGGAAATTCTCAGCCATCCAAGTCATGATTGTCTTCAAGGAAAAACAAAGTCCAGTTGCCTTTTTTGGGGGGAAAAAGCACTTTGGGGACCTTTGTTAGCATCCAAATACTTAAAAGATTAGGTTTCTTAATTCCTGCTAACCTGGGCACCAAGATCAGTTGGGGAGGCGCCTTGCTTGCGATCCCATTGATACGTTCAGTCCACAGTGTGGTGACCAGAGTAGGGCCTGTTTAATTCTTTTGTAAAATGCTTTGGGAGGAATAACATAGAAGAAGAGTGAAATGGAATGGCTTTGAAGGGAGAAGCAAGGCAAGCCCCATTTCTCACTCCTTACAGCCTCTGTATATGTTGGACTGCAACTCCCATCATCCTTAGCCAGCATAGCTATCGATGGTGGCTGAGAAATAATGGGGAACATAACAAGGCTGGACCAGATGTTGAAGAATCAGCGTAGAATCCTATGGATATGTGTTGACTGAGGAAAAAGAAAAACCTTTTCAAAATCCCAGCTTTTTCCCAGTTCAGCTCTTCTGCTATCTTGAGTCATTGTGATTTTTTTAAAAAAGCTTTTCTTCCCTCACCCCCACTCCTTTAGAATAAATGTTAAAGATTCACTTTGCAGCCCAACCCTGTGCGTGTTTACTCAAAAAGGAAGGGTTGCTAAATTTGAAGGGGGTTATGAGTAGGTAAGTGTGTTATCTGGGGCTCTGAATTGTCCCAATAGCAGCTATTGTTTCAGTTACTCTAGTGCAGGGGTCTTCAGACTTGGCCCTTTGATGACTTGTGGACTTCAACTCCCAGAATCCCTCAGTCGGCCATTTTTATGAAACCGCGGGCTTAGATCCAGACCAGGGGTCTTCAAACTTGGCCCTTTTATGACTTGTGGACTTCAACTCCCAGCATTCCTCAGCCAGCGTGCCTGGCTGAGGAATTCTGGGAGTTGAAGTCCACAAGTCATAAAAGGGCTAAGTCTGAAGACCCCTGCTCTAGTGTGTTCACAGAAGGAATCAACTTTCTCACTGATCTGTAACTATATTTCTCAAAAGCTTTTGAGAATACGGTACGCCAGTGGTTCTCAATCTCTGGTCCGCGGATCCTGCAATGTCACAGCCCCACAGGGGTCTGCAAAGATGAAATGTTACGGTTTAAATCTTGACTTAAGTCTTGGTGGTCCTTGGCCATGGTGCCTATGGCCACAAAAGGTACTTAAAGAGGGTCCATGGTGGTCAGGAACCACTGCAGTATGCTATTCATAGGGAAATGGAAGGGACATTGGGCCTCTTGCTATCTCAGTGGCAGGCAGAGCTGCCATTTAATATGTGATAGTAGAATAGAGCTGGAAGGGACCTTGGAGGTCTTCTAGTCCAGCCCCCTGCTCAAGCAGGAGAAGCTATACCATCTCAGACAGGTGATTGTCCAGTCTCTTCTTAAAATAAATCTCTTCAGTCTCTTCTTAAAATAAATCTCCAGTGATGGAGTGCCCATGATTTCTGGAGGCAAGGAGTTCCACTGGTTAATTGTCCTCACTGTTAGGAAGCTTCTCCTTAATTCCAGGTTGCTTCTTTCCTTGATTAGTTCAATCAATCAATCAGAATAGAGCTGGAAGGGACCTTGGAGGTCTTCTAGTCCAGCCCCCTGCTCAAGCAGGAGAACCTATACCATCTCAGACAGGTGATTGCCCAGTCTCTTCTTCAAGATCTCCAGTGATGGAGCGCCCACGATTTCTGGAGGCAAGGAGTTCCACTGGTTAATTGTCCTCACTGTCAGGAAGTTTCTCCTGATGATGATGGTGATCTCCAATCAGTTGCGTCCAACTCTTGGCGATTCCTTGGGCCAGGTCTCTCCACACCTTGCTCTACTTCTTTGAGTTGTTCTGTGCTCTGGCTGGTGTCATTTAAAATGTAAAGAGGTGGGGTTTTGGGGGGGGGGTTTACTCGAGAGCTGTCCTTCTCTTAGGCACATATTCAACGGTGAGGTTGA